TTAACACAATGTAGGGGTTATTTACACAATGTAGGGGATATTTACACAATGTAGGTGATATGTTATGTAGGTGATTTGTTAACACAATGTAGGGGATATGTAACACAATGTAGGTGATGTGTTAACACAATGTAGGGGATATTTACACAATGTAGGTGATTTTTACACAATGTAGGGGATATGTTAACACAATATGAGATGCTAGCCTGCTCACGGATGAGCGATCACATAAGGTAATGCAAACCGGACTCTGCAGACAGGTGTTCTGTTGACAGGTTTTCAGGTTTATTACTTAAATTTATGATGTGTATAGCTAGATGACAATGTGTCAAGAGAATTTCATTGAAATCCCTTGCTCTATCTCCTTAATGCCGAGCGCCAGCCAGGGTAACAACAAGTATATATATATATATATATATATATATATATATTGGTATGACCTGCCCCTCTGCGGGAAGACGCTTTATCCACTGCATCACAACAGCTCACAGAAGATGAAGGAGAAAGGAAGAAAGTCACGCATGATAACAGCGAAACCAATAGATCATAGCGTTTCTTGAAAAAACTGTAGTATTGATCAGAATATCGGTAAAGCGTGGGTTACCTTGGTTATAATCAATAATTGACGAATGCCTGTTACGAGGAAGGTCATGGGAAACATGGAATCTAGACATATACATCGTGATGACACTTTCTGCATGACAATGTCCTTGCTTTCATTGTAGTTAGCTAATAACAAAACAATCATTTACATGAAGTTGTGATTAAACTTCATTAACTGTGGGGATGAAGGGGTTGCAGAGTTCAAGGTTAATTCATTGCCTCTAAGACCCATTATGACATAATTACTTCATGGTTTCGGACTGAAGTCCATTTATTGTTTGTTTGTTGGTTGGTTTAACTCTACGATATTCCAGCTATATGACTACATTCTGTAGATAACTGAGTCTGGACCAGACAACCAGTGATCAACATCATGAGCATCGATCTACGCATTTTGGGATACTATGACATGTATCAACAAAGACAGCCAGCCTGACCACCCAGTCCCGTTAGTCGCCTCTTACGACAAGCATGTGATTCTGAAGACCAGTTCTAACCCGGATCTTGACGGGTAGTCAGTGCATAGTGTCGGCATAGAGGGATCCTTCTTTATCTGGCATTACAGTTTCAGGGGGCAGGCGTACGCATTCACGCATTCATGCACATACGCACACACAATCCTATATCAGAGCAATAATCTCGAACGCGACGTTAAACACCACCTCACCCCATCTCACCAGCTGAATATACATATGTCATGTACATATAAACACCATGAGACCGGGGTCCTTGTGTACACTGCATATAAAAAAGGAATTGTATCGTAACCTTCACTCCTTAGAGTTTCAGGGGCTACAATCGTGTCTAACTCAAAACACATGACACATGACTTGTCTCCTCAGGAAACAGACGTTGTTCGAAGATTCCTGTAACCCCTGCAGAAAAAGGGTACCCAGTAGGATTGTAATACGACTGTTTTCCTTCTGCCTCACAAGGCAGCATGGACTGCATACCTCCCGGGGAGTTGAGAATGTCATTCGCGTGGACACATATATCCATTGATCATATTTGAATTTCTTAATTTCTTGGTTACACTTAAAACCTAAAAACATAATCAGGACGAACCTGGGTTCGAACCCAGGATCACACGTACGGGACATAACTTATTACCAATTACTTTGGAAGCTAATGAAGCATAGATGTACTAGTACTTTAAGTGGTTTATCCTCACTTTCCCCACATTTGAATGTTTGGATAAGGGATTAGGAGGTCACTGGACTGTGGATGTGGGACTATGGTCTGTTCTAATTAGTGAACACTTCTCACTATCAGTAAAAGGGAGCTAAGGCCAATTGGTGAAATCAATTCACTTATAAATTGTGAACTGTTTTAATAGATCTTGATGTAATAATTAATTTGAAATAAAAACAAATAAACTACTGAGATTTAATCATAGCTTATCGTTTTGACACAAATAGCTCCTCTGAATCACAAATGGTCATTCCAAAACTTTAGATACATTGCTAATACTAAAAGTGGTCAGAATGTAGCGTTAGATGGTTTCAAATTCAGAGTAACGTCCAGGCGTAATAATATCACATACTGGGAATGTTGCAAAAAAGACTGCACAGCCAGAGTTACCATTCGCGATGGTATTCTAGCATCACCTCTTCCTCAGCACAATCACCCTTCAGAGGAGAACAAGATAGCAGTCCAAGAGGTCGTGCAGCAGATGAAGGCCAGATTCAGAGCTGACTGCAGAGCTGTACCTTCTTTGTACAAGGAAGAGCTTTGAGGTAAAACCTTTGCAAATTATAACCTTTCATTTATAAATAAAATTAATCATCAGAGATATGTCAAGATTTTATCCTTTCATTGAGAATCTATTAACACAATTAGTTTCTTTTATGTGCATACATCTATAAATAAGGCTAATCATCAGATCAGAAGATTTTAATATATTCCTTTTCATTGTTTCAGCCTTCAACAACCGCGAAGGACATGATATGGCGGCAACCGTCCCAACATTCTACAGCTTACAAGCCAGTCTGTATCGGTCCCGTGCCAAAAACGTCCCACCTCTTCCGCTACAGACTATACCTTAATCCCCCTTTGTTAACTAATTGGTCATGGCCTGGTGTACCCAGACTCTAAACAATAGATGTAGGGAATGTGAGGTGTCCCCCTGTAAGTTAGTTGCCTGTTGTTACAAAAACTTTCGATTCTGTGATCGTTGACCTGGTTACACACAAACATACACATCCGAAGGGTTTTTATATACCTATCAACAAACATATGTCTTCATGCATCGTTTGGTGCATTAAATATTAAGTATCTAGCATTGTGCTACATAGATAAGGAGATATTGACGAACGGTCTTCGTTCCTGACTTACGGTCGTCTGTATTGTATGAAGCTATGGCGATAAGAAAAGACAAACGTTAATTGTTATATAGGACCGAACAATATGTTTGAATCATAAGCGATGAACGTCAACATTTGAAATATCTGTTTTCCACTGCAGCTATTATATACAACAGAAATACCAAGACCGATGTTTATAAGTCTTTCTCACAGTCCCTGAACCGCATTACTTTCTGCCTAGCCCTTTCTGCAATGCTAAAGCCCTAAATGAAGCAAAGTCCAGATTTCCTCAGGTTCAGGTTTTGAATCTCCCATCTCACTGGGGCTTCTTTTCAATTTATAACGAATTCCTTCTTTCAATAAAAATTATAAACATTCAGAGATTATGCGATAATCTAGGTGTTTCTTTGCAATACACAGAACCGAGTCCAAGTGAGGACTGTGAGAAATACTGCCAGCTCTAACTCACGAAAATCATGCTACCTTACATCTCTGACGTCATCGTAGTGTTAATTTTTGCAGGAACGGACTGCCGTCGATTGTTCACGAGGCAATATTTCTATTAATTTACAATTTGCAACAACGGCAGGGAATATATTCGAAGTGAATGGCACTGGGGAAGCTCACACATTATTCATACGCCAAGAGAGACGTCTGGTGGATGTTTCAAGTATTTCCACAGAAGAACTATGTGCCATATTGTAAAAGAATGCTGTCATTTCCCCGTCACAAGAATTCCTCTTTTGGATCCTGAAAACCGTGCCTCATTGATATGCTGAGGATTGACTCTTTGAAATTCAGTCAGTACAATAGTTTAGAATCATGAATGTTTAGGAGGATTTTTTGTGAAATAATGTGCTTAGTCCTTACAACCAAAATTATACCAAAACACCATATAATCCCTCGGTGATTTTGTTCAGAGTACACTGGTGGAGTTATGTAAAATAATGTTTGGAGTTTAGTTAAGTCTGAAGTTCGTGTTCTGTTGGATCAACAACAGTTCATATTTGACCAAAACCCTACTGGGAGATTGCTAGCAGTATGGTGTCGCCTAGGTAACACGCCATGGACCTTATCCCGATGCCAAATACTCTATAGCTAATACATGTGTACATTTCACGTACTGCAGAAATACTGAATTATGAACGACTATCTTTGTGGTAACACTAAATACATTAGGGCCTTTGTTGTCATTACTTTTCGGACCGCCTCCGTGGTGTAGTGGTTAGAGCGTCCGCCCGGAGAGCGGAAGGTCGCGGGTTCGATCCCCGACCGCGTCATACCAAAAGACGTTAAAATATGGTACTTGTTGGTCCCTGCCTGGCGCTCGGCATTAATGGGTACAACAAGGACTGGTCGGCTTAAGTCTGGGCTAGTACAAGCAGCCGCACATACACATACACATACACACGCATGCACGTCGTCATATGAGCTAAATATTCTCAAGCACGACGTTAAACCCAATTTCACCTCACCTCACCTTCCTTTTCACGACAATTGTTTAATGACGCCTAGTTATAGTCTCATATCAGATATAATGTATTGACTCTCTCTCTGATATATTCAAGTGTAAAAAGAGCATTGTTGACTGGCACGAGGTCAAGTCAATATCATTTGTCTGTGTCATATCTTTATTGAGTCTCTGTCTTTACCACTAATGCTAATGGCGAGGAAACTCGACTGACTAACGGAGTGTGTCGTATTCAGCTTCAAAAGCTATAGGCAAACTCAACAACGGTTCATAACACATTTAATCTACTCAGTCTAACAAACCACTGATATGTCAATCTTGGAATCAGTCCAGTATTATCTGTGCATAAACAACGTCATCGTTGGTGAGGTTGGAATTACTACCAACGCCATATTTATTGAATGTATTACTCGGTTCTGTGTGTTCTGTTTATGTTAAACCCAGGACAGTTTCACCCATGACTCATTTATACACATAAAACGGAATTTAGCAGTTGTTTTAAGACATGAAATGAAAAGTATTACGCAACCTTTCAAAGTCTGACCATAATCAAAGGTTGGCACTGTTCATTCAAAGAATACCCCCTATACCCCCGCGTCCCAGACAATGGAGTGAGAACCTACCTGTGCCTGTGTGGCTCTGTCACTGACGGCTGCGTCTTCAGGGCAAGGATGGAGATGGCAGTTTGTTTACTGTCGCCTTAAGTTACCAATCTCCATCGTTACCTCAGACAACCGTTCTGCCTCCACTGTTCCATTGACTGAAATCAAAATCGATACTTATTTCCGAGTCCCCATGAGATACATGTTAGAGTGGTGGTGACAATAAACGATTTTGAAGATGATTGGGAATGGGTTAGGCTTCAGGGAGCCTTGCCGGGCAGGAATATATCAATACATAATTACTGTTATTTGAAAATAGAAACTTGACACGGCTGTATGGATTAAACTGTTATTGCGTCGCTTCCCAGTTTCGATAAGGATGCAGTCCTTTCTGTCTCTGTGTGTAATTGTCATTATCCCTGTGTGTAGTTATTGACTATCCAACAGAAAATGCAAGTAAGTTTACAATACTACACACAGCGCCACCGTCTTGTTCCATCATTGCCAAAGCCTCCCCCGTCTCTCTCTCTCTGGGACACACACACACACACTCCCTCCCTCTCTCCTTCTCTCCGGGACACGCACACACTCTAATTATTACTAACTTGGACCAGTTTATCATAATCGGTACAACAAACCGCCTGCCTTTAAATTTGATGCTATGACTTTTTCTGCTTTTGAATGACAATGTAATAAATAAATGTCTTTGAAATAAAACTCACTCCGAGTGTGTACTTACAATGTTTACTAATGCAAACTTGTTCTCGTCACTATATGGCTGGAAAAATGCCGATGTGACGTAAAGCTCAACTCAACTCAACTCAACTCATAATCGGTACAATCTTGTTAACGCGGTCTTGCATCCACGTTTGCTTAACAGCTGAGCTGTTCTTTTTACGTGTTTTGTTGTCTCGTTCCGTTGCGCTTACCACGCTAGCGTTTGTCCACCGCAGTCATTGTGGCCAGTATTGATGCCGTCCTGCTCCGGAGACGATACAAAAGGTCGTCACTGACTACACAGACACGGCCCATCTGCTTTCGCCGCATCACAAAGGATGCTATTGTCAAACCGTATCGTATTGTGGTTTGACGACACTGACAAAGTGCGCGTGAAGCAAAGGCGGATCGAGATGGGTTGTGCAGGGGTGTCCACCCGCCCCCTTTTGTCCTGAAAGTTTGTTCAATGACCATTGAAACTCGGGTGAAAATGAAGTGTGCACCCCCCTTTTCTCGATAGTGTCCCCCCCCCCCCTTCTCAAAAAGCTGCATCCGCCCCTGGTGAAGCTACAGTTATGGGAGGCGGCTGTAAATCTCCCTCTCTCTCGGTGTGTGCGTGCGTATGTGGGTGCGTTTGCGTTGTTAGGTTATGATTTCCAGGTTGAACCTTTAAAACTAATCGACAATCAGTCCGTAGAAAATCTAGGTGAGAAACCAGTAAATGCTATGGCATAGTTAACCCTTGTAATTTCATCCTTCACAAATCAGTACAAAGGTATCAATATGGCATTACTAAACAGAGTGAGTGAGTGAGTTTAGTTTTACGCAGCACTCAGCAATATTTCAGCTATATGGTGGCGGTCTGTAAATAATCGAGTCTGGAGCAGACAATCCAGTGATCAACAACATGAACATCGATCAGCGCAATTGGGAACTGATGACATGTGTCAACCAAGTCAGCGAGCCTGACCACCCGATCCCATTAGTCGCCTCTTACGACAAGCATGGGTTACTGAAGACCAATATTCTGACCCGGACTTAACCCGGACAAAAGGTAATACAATACAAGAGCAGTGAATATAGAAATAAAGACAGTGTTAGTAATATACACCTCTCAGCAACAGTAATCGTACTTGCTTAAGTAGAGTTCCCAACTTCCCAGGGTATAACGATCATCGCCTTCAATGCATGTCTTCTTGCAATTTAAAATGTCTTTTCAGATGAGAGGCAAGAGTTAGCTCCCGTTATATACCTAAGAAAAAGCTGCCAGAACAATAACTCTACACTAAGGCAGTTGATTCTGGAATAGGTTTCTTCACATTCCAGCTCTGTCTTTAACGAAACATACAACTTTATGGATAACAACTTTTTGTTTATTGCATTGAGCCTCTATGCAATAAACATGCGTTAATCTATAAAGATATTCGCTTCATTATTGACTCACCAACCTCCAGTATGCCGATAAAACAATTACCTCCCTCTTTCTCTAAATCACGTACAATTCTAAATATAGCACAAATCTGAATATAGCACACCACTGCCATTCACTGAATATCCACATATATAATGTACTACACTTGGAATAGTGCAGGCACATTTATTCAGTGCGTACACAAATGCCTTGTTTAATGCCGTGTATCTGTCTTCATGGCTAATTCCCATAATGAATATTTATCTCACATAAAAAAGACATAGATGTTTGTCACATTTTAAAGTAATACGTTATGAGAAGGGCGGTTACTTGATTTACTAGCTGAAACGTTAACGAGATGTTCATGCAAAACAAAATCGGTAATAAAAGACAAATGAAGATATATATTTACATATTTACATATTTATTTATGGATTCATTCGTTGTTTCATTCACTCACTCACTCGTTCATCCATATATTTATTTATTTTCAAGTACATGTACATTGTTTTAGCAAAATGCATGAAACCAGCTTTATTACATTCGTTTCTTTCTTGTTTTTAAAAGTATCATTCAACATTTTCAATTAAAATACTTCCAGAATGACACATGGTACAAATACTGGTTTAATCCGTAAATGCATCGGGCTTTGTCGACTATATGTGTCGGGGCCAAATCCACTGCAGCAAACATGTTGACAGCTTGCGTTGTCACGGGCAACTGCTGATGCCTTGCCAGGACGCACTTGCCGGAAGTAATGAGTTGCGCATGAATCCTAGTGCATGCCGGGTGTAAATTCCGTCTATGAAATCTGTCAGTGGAGTTTGATTATGAACTGGACTATATGATTTGACTTCAATTCGAAGCATATCGTCTGCCTGACGAGCAAATGAATTGACACTGTTACATAGATTTATCACGAAGACAACATGGATCCGAAAATTGCTAAGAAAACACAGAGTACTTTGGGCAAAGTGATCTCGAAGCCCCCTTTGACAGACAAACTCTTGGGGAAACCGCCGTTCAGATTCCTTCATGATGTTACAACATCGGTAGTGTTTTTTTCTGTCTCTCTTTGACATATTGCATGAATGCTTACTGTGACCTTAGGATTAACGGATTCCCTTTCTTCACCTAAAAATAAGTTTGTATGATCCAAAGTTAGGAACTCGACTCAAGTCAGCTATCACTATGTGTTACCTAATTTCGTGGTAGGCTACAAGTTGTCTTTCCGAAGATCGCCGTAATCGATCGCATTCAAAATTTTCTTTAACATATATGTGCATCATGCACAACTGATTCGATAATTTGTTCTAAGGTAATCTAGATGATAGGGTTTCTGTTTTTGTTCTGGTCAGCTAAGAGTCGGCTGGTATTTGTATGATACGCAGTAACCAAGATCTCCATTTGTGATACGCTTTCACCAGGTGAATGCCGAAATTGTACATAAATTCTGTACCATTCAGTGATTATGTCCAACCAGGGAAACAATTCCGATCATTCCTGCCACTTTTGTTTGTTGGACAGGGTTGAGGTTACCTATTAGTATTGACTCTGATTTATTTCACAGCTAATTCACTTTCATATTGCTTTTAGATATAATGTTGAGACTCAATTTACAATGTATTACATATATTACATATACAGAAATATAACTCAGAGTCAGAAGAGTTTTCACATGCAAAGATTATCATGATTATCCTTTCTTAATACATTCCTTCAACATCTCATGTCTAGAAGATTGCTAAACTGCAGCTTAGCAAACGTGGATAAGTATCACATTTACTTTTTTATTTTATGTTCATTGGTTGCTTATTGAATGTGTAATAATCTGTGTTTCTAGGTCATCAAGACAACTGGGTTTATGAAGGGACTGTTTACTGATTTTGAATTGAACTCTGAAAATGTCAAGGTAAATTTTGAACATGCATTAATTATGTACTTGTTTGAAATAAAGTGTTATTTAAACAGTATAGTTACAGCTGTACATTAGTTAATCCATACAAATAGAAATAAGTCAATATGTTGAGCAGTTCACTTTGAAGAGTTGTGTCCCTTTACAATACAGAAACCAGATTGTGGGTTCGAATCCCAGTTTGCAGAGATTATGTTTCTAGGTTTTGTCAGCACCATAACCATGCTCATGTTTATCACCTTGGCATCTAGACATGTTTTGGGTTACGGAACTCTTGTATTGATGAGACCCATGAAGATCCGGGTTAGAATATTGATCTTCAGTAACCCATGCTTGTCGTAAGAGGCAACTAACGGGATCGGGTGGCCAGGCTTGCTGATTTGGTTGACACATGTCATCAGTTCCCAATTGCGCTGATCGATGCTCATGCTGTTATCACTGGATTGTCTGGTCCGGGACTCGATTATTTACAGACTGCCACCATATAGCTGGAATATTGCTGAGTGCGGCGTAAAACTAAACTCACTCATTTACTCACTCACATGTATTTTGATGATGTTTGTTCAACTTTCTGTCTGAAATCGCACATGCTGTAGTCATCCTCATGACAGATATGTTCACAGTATTACCTAGCACCACTAACTAACACTAATATCAGTACAGGTAATTATGATTTAATTTGACTGGATGCTTTCATGAAATGACTTAACACTTTCGCACTTCAGGAAAAAGACAACAAAGTGGCGTTTCTTCAGAAATCAATCGATATGGTTTGTAAGTATCTACATTGATTGAGGTACACATATTGGCCGGCATGGGAAAATATATCAAACTACAAAGGGACACACATAGTTTCCTGCACTAATCTAACCCAAGTGATTCTACTGTAGACACTGAAACACAGTTTCATTGTGTATATTTACATCTTGGGTTGGACCCTTGAAGATATGGGTTAGAATTGGTCTTCAACAACTACATCCTCGATATCTCCAGGGTATACGTTACGATCACTCTGCACTATACCCTGGATGCATCCACGGCTTTTTATGTTGATTTTATTACCTCCCTTGGCTGGATTTTTATCCAATCAGGTGTCTACGCTGGGAAGTTGAGCGAACCAGTCACAACTCACTTTCACTTCTTAAATTATCTAACCGTTTAAACTTGGCAACACAATTGATGCTGAGGTTACTCTGAAGATGTGGAAGGAGTTCTTTGACATAATTTTTAAAGTTTCAGATCTGTCAATTTGTATTATTTCTCAAATCAGAGTGGTACTGCGAACAAACCTTCGCGACTGCTACCACTGTCAAGCTGTTGACACTGGCAAGCTCGGGTGTAACGGCGGCTTAGCTGATTGGCTACTGTGAGAATGCGGAACTAGCAAAGGGAGGTAATATAATTATCAGGCCAAGGCGTGGATGCATCCAGGGTATAGTGCAGAGTGATTGAACGTATACCCTGGAGATATCGAGGATGCAACAACTAATGCTTGTTGTAAAAGGCGACTAACAGGATCGGGTGGTCCGACTCGCTGACTTGGTTGACATATGTATTCCAACTGCGAAGATCTCTGCCCATGATGTCAGTCACAGATTGTCTGGTCCAGACTCCATTGTTCATAATTTACAGACCACTGTGATAGAGCTGGATAATTGCTGTGTGTTGCGTCAAACAACAACCAGAAATGTTGGGTTGAAACACTAAACTGTCTGGCTCATGAAATTGTGAAATGTTCCATATCTGTGATATGTGTTCATTGATAACAATATTCCCTAACTGTTATTCCTATTTGTTGCATGTCTATGGCATCAAGATGATTATTTGTATTGTTTGGCAAACAAAATTGAAGCTTTATGTTAGCGAATTGTAAGTCTGCATTAGACACTCCAGTGACTGCCATAATTCAATGAACTTGACCACACAATCCCATGAGTATCCAGTCATGACAAGAATGGGTTGCTGAAGATGTTCAGGCAGAAGTAAGATTATTTCTTCTCTTGCTGTGGTCATTCTGCCTTTGATATACATGTGCACGCTTACCATATTTGCCTGTTATGCCCAATTGCAGGTCTTGTAACTGGGAAGTCTCTGTCAGTCCGACCACAAAAGATAGTGGCAGGACATGAGCCAGACAAGACAAATGAGTTTCTGCAGGTGCTTGCTGAGGCTATCAACATGAAGGTGTGTGTCATCCCATGCGGTTGCTTATTTAATAAAATAATGTTATTCAATTGATTCTGGAGTTATGTGCCAAGTATGCGAGCATATAGTCCACACCATATTATTACATGCTAAATAACACAAATAGAAATGTTGTCATAACATAGAAAAATGTTTACAATTGTACTACCCCAGGGTTCGAAATACCCCATATATTAGTGTGCCATGGCACGGTAAATATTGAAATGGCACAGATAAAAGATGTTCTCGGTGCCCTTTCGACACGCCTAATTTTTTTTAGAGACATAACTCACATTTAGTCAATTAATCCCCAAAACAAATATTTTTCTCAAAATTAAATAATACCATACATATATGAATGCTCATAAACCTATTTCTTTATTTAACAATAAATTTCAAATGATCATCATCATTGTCATTTATTCTAAAAACGTGGGCATACTCGATTTCTGAAAGGCACACCTAAAATATTTGTCTGGTGCCCTAAGGCACACTTAGAAAAAATAGTATTTCTATCCCTGTACCCCTAAGGATACTTTTAATGTTAACTGAGACGGTCTGGACTAGTTGTTTGCTGAAGTAACTTTTCTTTCCAATATTTACATTTACCTATAAATGATTTTACAGGTTGATAATGATGAGTATGTAAAGAGACTTCTCAAGGGGAAAGGGGGAGGAGCAGAGAAGAAAGACAAGGAGAAGGAGTCAAGGTCACGCAGTGCTGACAAGAGGAAAAAGGAATCTGAGGTAAACTCAAATATGCATCAATATTCCAAATATGGTGTGGCATTGAATAAATGGGCATTGGTAGATAGGGATGTCATGATATATCACAATATCAGTGTTTTGACGGGTGGAAATAATCAATTGCCCGACGTCCGAGTCCAGTGTTTTTTCTGTCGGGCAAGCACATTTGTATATCATGCTGTACCGGTGTCCAGATGACATTCCAATTTTAATTGTGTTGTTTGTTTAAAAAATCACCACGAAAATCGTCCGGTAGAGCGGAAAAATTATCAGGGCAAGTGATTTTACATGTGCCACTGTACCGGAGTACACTAGCAATTTTAAGGTTATTTCCACCCCTGTATTGATTGTGTTGATGAAATTTCGCATGCATTATTTCAGTTTGAGTTGAATAATTGTTTTCCTTCCTGTGGCATGAAGTTATAGTAATTATAGAATGATGGTTCAGGAGATGTATCATTTCCCAAATTGCCAGTCAGACTCACAATTGTTTTAATGACTCCTCACAACTTTTTCTGTGAGTCACCACGACTAAAAATTATTTAAGTTTATACATATCCCTGTTCCATGAGTTTGCTCTGTGTTGTTCCACATAAGTAAACAACATTTCTCTCACATTGCTGTCTCTTGTATATGATGTAGGAGAAGAAAGATAAGGGTCCTGAAGGTAGGGAGAAGACAAGGGATAGGGAGAAGAGCAGGGATAAGGAAAAGAGTCGAGAAGAAGGAAAAGATAGAGAAAAAAGCAGGGACAGAGACAAAGATAGGAGCAGAGACCGTGACAAGGATAGAGATCACAGGCGTAAGAAGGTGAGTGTCCCCTTCCTTGATATTTGGAAGCATTCATATTCACATCAGTGATTTGAAACAGTTCCCCATGACTATTGAGATTATGATTGGCATCAAGCAACCCATGTTTGATATAAGAGGCAACTAACGGGTTCTTGTTGTCTGACTTTGTCACTTGGTTGATGCATGTCTTCATAATATGCAGTAACTGCATAGGTCGGTGTTCATAATGTCAGCCACTGGGTTGTCTGGTACAGACTGTTATTTACACACCACCTTGATATAGCTCAAATGTTGCTGAATGTGTCAGTAACAAAAAACCCACATTATTTCAAATGAACCATATTTTCTTGTTTATATTATGAATTGTTTACAGAATCAGCTGGGCGGAAGGGAAAGTAACTGTCTAAGGACTATTACTGGAAAGGTTTTAGTTTTTAGTGTATCGCCCCACTACTAATTTTTACTGTGTATGCAGCTGCTCTCATTGATTGTCTTCCCTGAGGGGAATCTAGGTCAGAATAGGACCCTCATGCTTCTTGTAAATGTGGTCAAAATTGGGCTTTGGTTGTCAGATTCTGTGAATAATCTGGCTCACTCATCATGCCCCAGTGGCATGGTTTCCAGACTGGACATTACTGTACTTGGTAATATCGTTGTAGCTGGAGGTATTCTGACAGGCAGTATGTAGTATTTACACATGTATTCAATGTGGTTGTCTGGTAGCATGAGCTGCGTCAAGATGGAAGTGGACAGTCAGAGGAAAGTGATAAAGAGTCACAAGATGAAGGAATGATTCAACAGCTAACAGAAGGAAGGGTAAAGACCAAGAGAAGGCGTAGTAAAACCAAGCATGAAGAGTCAACATCTACAGATGAAAAACACAGAGAAAGCACAAAAGCTAACGTCAATGCTCGGTCAAGGGCAGACCGACCACGTGGTGCTCGCCGGAGGTCAGAGAGACAGATGCCTGTAATGAAACCAGGGGATGAAAGTTCAGATGATGAATCGGCTAATGGTGTGTCCTTTCTGTCTTATGAAGTGGACAAGAAACGAAAGACTGGAATCAAGAGCCGTCTGGGTGTGAGGAGTGAGAAGGGGAGTGTCAGCCCAGACCATGGTGCAGAAGAACAGGAGGGGGAGCCCTGGAATGACAGACATAGTGCCAGCAGAGACTCTGTTGACTCTCCCAACAGGACAATGCAGATGGAGAACACTCGAAGTTGTAAAACTTTGTCCAGATCAACCTCAAAGTCTGGTACAAATACACCCAAACAGGACAAAGCATCCTCTTCAAGAAGACAGTCGACTGAGACAAAGGATAAAGACAGTCCAATGCATCCTAAGACTCCTGGAGATGCAAGGAGTCGGCGCCGTGCCTCTCAAGCAACACCAGATAAACGTCGCAAGAGCAGCTTTACCATGATGCCTCATCTGATGAATGGATCACAGGTTAATGCTGTCACGTTGCTGTGTTCATTGGAAATGTTCACCATTCCTTAATCGTGTTGAATATTATGAAGACGGTTGACTTTCATGTTCTTGTTCTTTCATGTTCTTTGTTTGCTTCATATTCATTGTTCACATTTGTTGAAAGGAATTTTTGTCAAATGTTTTTGAAAGGCTTAGAACTGTTTTTCTTTGGTTGGTATGGGCTTTTTTGTGATGGATCTCAGGTTCAGATTTGTGTTTGAAGATGTAAACATTTTACATTTTCGCCACAGGATCAGTGTGCTATGCACTGTGAATTTATCATCACTGATCTTGATAATTATGATGTTGGTTCAAGTATCTCAGGGTCAGTCTGGTCAGTGTTCTCATTCCAGACATTTTGAAGTGGTGTTGCAGTAAGTTGTAGTAAGAGCATATTCAGTGAATAGACACTCATACTTTGTACTGATTTATTACTGTTGTATGCTGATACAGCAAGATTGATATTCTGATATTATCATGATTATTGTTGTACAGCGTCATTGATACGCTGATATGTTTGTGTTGACGTAGTATTGATATGGTGTCATGTTACAGCGAGATGAGCCTGGGAAGGAGAACGAGTCTCCAGCAGGTGATAAAATGGTGAATGGAGAGGAACCTAACAAGCCGGTAAGAAACACACTGATTGCATCCTTAACATAACATTACAGATAGAAATCAGCCTCCTCTCAGTTAGTGGTTATTTAACAGGGCCGACTGGGACATCTTCACTTATGCCGATTCTCCCATATCTAATTTGGAGGAGTACCTTTTCATCCTGACCAACACTTTTACAAAACAGTCAGCTCAAGTAGGTTGACAAGCTATTGTGGTGTGAAACAGTCCCATGATGGACCACTTGTTGTGTCGTGACACATGTATCACATTCCCAGCTGATCCCTAGCTACAGCTGTAGGCAATATGCCAGCTGACTCAGGACTGTGTAGTTGATGGCTTTATACAGCATATGCAATTGTTAAGCAGTTGTCCATTTTGTTTTGTCTTCACAGGATATACCATTTGGGTGAGATCAACCAGTATCTTAAATAAATTTCATTATGATCATCCAGTGCTTTTAACTTTTCAAGACCAGTGTGACGTCACTGATTATCATGATGTCACTATCAAATAACATCGCTTATCTCAGTATGTGTGTGTCACTGAAACTTGTCATCTGTGTCTTTTCATATAAACAATGAGTACCAGTATTTGGTTTTCAAACTGAAAAGCTGGAAAATGATTTTGGATGATAAACACAATCTCACCCAAGTGTCCTTTGATATCAGTATGCTTAAATACATTAAAATATGTTTCACTCTTTGTAAACAGTTTTTAATTACTGTCGACTTATGTTTATACTTTTCATATCAAAAGGCACTTTGGTAAGATTCTCTGTGCATCCGAAAATGCAAGACAAACTATTTAAAGTTGTAATTTATGAAAAGCATGATAGAGTATTATAGGTAGCCTATGAACCTCTTAGCCATGTTAAAACTTTCCTTGTTATCTTGTTGATGAAGCAGGAGACCCACACTCGCCTGCAGCGGCCAACTTCAGCGAAGGGTTCACGGAGGCGTCGTGAAGGTGAGTATCTGTAAATAACTGTACAAGTGGTCAGCTGATGTCCAGTTGCACTGAGTGATCACGGAATGGTTTGGCCAATTTGGTTACTGTAGAATATAGTCAGGGGTTTGCCTGGCTGTCTGGCTGCAGTCTGTTCTTGACACTAGTGTGGCAGATCAGCTTCTCTGGCTTATTGAGCTATATTGGAAGCAGCCTGCTTTTTGTTTCTTAATTTGAATGTGAAATATTTTAGTCAGCTTGAGCTCACCTTTGTTGACAGATCCTTTGTTTTGGCATCGATCATATAACTGCTGCTTAAAGTATTGTCAGGTTGTGCTATGGTTAATATAGTGTCTATATTTTAGTGTGACTGATATTATCTGCTGTGTCTTTCTACATGGGCCAACCAATACAATGAAGGCGTTTTGAGAAAATTATCACTATTATGATCCCAACAGCATCAACACCATGACAACCAGTGCAGGTGTTGATACAACATTTCAATGTTTTAGGCAGCAGCTATCACTGAAGGAAATTTTAGAATGAAATCTAGATGTGACAATTAGATCATCTAACATCTCACAAGTAGTTTTGAAGAAAAACAAAATGCAGGCTACCAGATTAAACAGTATTTTCCTCTTTCTGGGATCAAAAGTGATCCCACTTTTGTAGCAGAAACTAATCTGAGTGTGTCTTTCTTCTTGTTAAATTATTAGAACATTTTTCGCTCCAAAACAAGAAATGTAAATATTTTAGGGAATAATTCTTTTTGGCAAGACCTCAGATGTATCAGTTTAAAGTTTGTTTTCATGGTGAATTCCATGCCATGCCAGACAGAATAAATTGTGAGATATTTGTGACAGGGATGGATCAAGTTGGATGCTGATGCTGTATGTGATTTAGTGTTGGAAGTGCATGATTTGACAGTGTGCATTCCGTCGTCACTCCTAACTTGTGTCCAAGTCATGCTAGCGGAGTTACATACCTGCACTAACCTGGGCATGTTTCATTGTTTTACTTACAATACAGGCCGCCGTACTGCGGACAGTGAAGAAGGTATGTCTTATCTCGGGCTCGTATTGTAGTCTCCTTGTATCATCTCTGGCTTGTTTAGTGTAGTCTGACTGTCGTACTAACTCTTGATATCGTAGCTCACCTCACTTCACTCACTTCTCAACACTTTAGATAAGTGTCTCTGGGGCTGCATTTATGTCCTTTCAAGGTGTAAGTCTTGTCCTATGCAGAATGATGGGATATGATGAGATCTCCCTCACGGCTTTGAGGGGTGACTTGCTGAACCTAATGTACATTTTTATATCTATATACATGTATATATATATACTTGGTGTAATGTTGTTTATTTTACAAGACCCTGGTTAGAAGTGGTCTTCAGTAACCCATGCATGTTGTAAAAGGTAACTGTCAGGTGGTCAGATTCAATGACTTGCTTGATGTATGTCATTATATCCCAAATGCGTAGATCAATGTACTTAATGTCAGTCTCCGGATTATCTTGTCCTGATTCAGTTATTTACAGGCTGCTGTCATATAGCTGGAATATTGCTGAATGCAAAGTGTTGACATCAAATTAATCCTTTAGGCTATTTTACGCCAATGCCTTGGGTCAGTGCTCACGATATCAACCACTGGTTTGTTTGGTCCAGATGCAATTGTTTACACGCCACCTTCATATGTCAGGACTGTGGCTGTGTTAAACTACAAACAAGGAGGCAGTTTGAGATTTCTTGGATGAGATTACTCGTTGAAATGAAATCACTTTTTATCATGAATCATGAGTCTCATGACATGTCATATGGTAGTTTGAATTTCTTGTTTGTAAATGCTCTTAACTGAATATTCCATGACTCTCATTGTGATATGTTGGTTTATTTATCCCCTTTTTGTATTTGTACCAAAACAATTAATCATGAGTATTGAATTTTCGAATGGAGAAAACAATTTCTTTTGTTTTTTCGCTGCTTATTTAAGACGTAAATTGCTTTGAAATATGATGAGTACAAGATGTATTGTTGTCAGAACTAATTCTTTGTCTTTATTATCAACTCGCCCTGTATTTGACCTGTAGAGTTAACACAATGACGCCGGTCTCAGTTCCCATCCCCCAAAATGACAACAAATATTGAATGTCTTCAAACACATTTGAGTAACTTCCTAGAGTGGCATTTTAGAAGTTGGGAAAGTACAAAGTTGCCGTTCCTGCTAGACAATATTACAAGAATCTGTACTGAAGCGCGCCACACTCACAAAATATAAGAGGTTGTTCTCCATAAATTTGTCATTATTGCACATTAAGTTTTGAACAGCCACTCATGCATGAAGACATATCAAGATTGATAATCAGTCAATTTAAAGCAGTTAAGTTATGCTTTATTTGGACTTCTAGTGATAGAATTTGGAAATAGGATATGAAAGTGACACATATATAGTGATAAAACTGGGAAATAGGATATGAAAGTGACACGTACGCTATGTGTATAGTCTCTTGTAAGTTAGTGAACAGATCCAGTATGTATGGCAATTGGTAATAAGGTTCTGGAACAAAGTCTGTGTCATATGTTTTAAGGGAAATTTGATAGCCACCCGTATTGGTCATTTCTGAATGACAAACATTCAGTGGAGCACACCTAAAGTATATTGTTACTGAGTTCTGGTAAGGGTTGGTGAAGGGCTCTGGACAATATTACACTGAATTGTATACCTTCTCTCTGTCTCTTTCAAAGCATGACTGCATGTTAAAACTGGACATGGGAATTTTGAGAATGATTTTAATTTCATCTAATCTATTATCATGATTATGTTTATTCTTTACTTCTCTGACAATGGTGATGGGTTATCAGATGTCAACTTCAGGTTGTTGTATATAAAATATCTTTTCATGATTAATTAGCTAAGCTGAATGTTTCTTAAACTCATGTCATTGTTGTAAAAGGTATATATTGTTGTCTGTGTCTTCTCTCCATGTACTCTATGACATTTTGTTTTCAGTCGCAGTGCGTTAAAACTAGATTATGATTGTTGTCTGTGCACTATCTGCTGCAGACTGGTAGTGTTGTAGCATTCATCCTAGTGCTCCCCTGTTCCTCTCCCCTGTACCTGTAAGCTTTCACTTGAATCAAGCAGTATCACACCAAGATTATTGCAGTCTCCAAATTATTGCAGAGACACTGTGGCATTCCTAGGTATTAAAGCAGTATCACTCCACTGCAAGGTCAAGGTTATTGCATTCTGCGTCAGTACTAGGTAACAAAGCAGTATCACACCTCAGCAAGATCAAGGTTATTGCCTACTGCGTCAGTACTAGGTAACAAAGCAGTATCACACCACAGCAAGGTCAAGGTTATAGCATACTGTGTCAGTACTAGGAAACAAAGCAGTATCACTCCACTGCAAGGTCAAGGTTATTGCATTCTGTGGCAGTCCTAGGTAACAAAGCAGTATCACACCACAGCAAGGTCAAGGTTATTGCATTCTGTGGCAGTCCTAGGTAACAAAGCAGTATCACACCACAGCAAGGTCAAGGTTATTGCATACTGTGTCAGTACTAGGTAACAAAGCAGTATCACTCCACTGCAAGGTCAAGGTTATTGCATACTGTATCATTACTAGGTAACAAAGCAGTATCACACCACAGCAAGGTCAAGGTTATTGCATACTGTGTCAGGACTAGGTAACAAAGCAGTATCACACCACAGCAAGGTCAAGGTTATTGCATAGACATTGTCAGCAGGGGTGGATACAGCTTTTTGAGAGAGGGGGGTGCACAGTCTTCAAAAGGTTGGGGGTGCACACTTTTATGTTTCGATATCGTGTCCATAAATCCCCCAAATAGATGTCATGTACATATTATAAGATTATTTTCTGTAAGTCATAAACCTTATTGCAATAACAACTCATCAGTAACAATATCAACTGGACAAAGTCAGACAACTAGATAAACAAGAGATTTCTGTGTGAGGAACAAAAACTATACCACCCTTTTCAGTACATTCTGAAGGTGGCAAAACAAACTTTGTTAATGAGTAGAAACCATCATAAACTAATTGGTGGAAATGTATGCTTGGTGCTTTGTAATCTTAATGAGAGAGCCCAAATGAGTACAGTCTCTGCCAAATACCTATTGAATCTAATAGTACTATAAATATTTTCAGTAGATTTTAGTTTTGTCATAAGTATTAGATTAAGCTGATCTATCTTGACCAGAAGAAACTTTACTAGGCTTGGGCTTTGGACTAGTCGCTTAAATTGCAGACTGATATCGTAGATAAACGTGTTGGAATGGAGTAGCAACAGTTCAACACATCGATGATTGATGTTTCAGAAGATGAAGAGTTTGTGCAGAAGCAAGAACCCACAGTTGGAGAAGCTGACCTCCCGCCCCAGGTGGCCAATGCGTGAGTTGATCTTCCTTGTCACCAATGTTTCTGCTGGAGACAAGACATCTGAAACAGTTTTATGATTTTTATCATTTTGAGCTTGAAAATTAATGATGCTTGATTCTATTAATGTGAGATTTGACAGTATGACACTTACTAAGCACAGATTCATGCCATCAGTATTAACACTTGGGACGATTGGCAGCTCTTACAGGTACATTGTTGAGTTTCTTTTTGTGGGTCTATTTGAGAAAATTATGTATGGTAGTGGTAGCAAGACAAAGAATTTGCATAAATAGTTAATAGAAACGTTATATATCAGACAATACATTGTTCACATATAGAATTAGCTGTACTAAGAATTGGTCTGCTAAATACATTTCTGGAATAAGATTAAGATGTTTTATTTCTCTGAACTGCAGGCAGTAAGCCCATAACATATGATACCACTGATGTAAGAATATGTTACATGGTGTCCACTTCTTCTGTCATTATTTCAGACGAAGAATGGCACGTCCTTCCAGTGCCCGTCCTGCTCCTCCAAGACCAAAGCAAGATGGAGTAGAGAGTGAGCCAGCCATGAGGTATGTACAGCTGAGGTTATATCACTAGTCAGTGGGCTCCTCTTGCTCCAGCGGAGTGTTTTGGGTGTTCATCACTCACCAGTAATGACCTCTTTGAGAACAATACACCTTTATCAAACAGTGTTTAGTGAGATTATATGTTCACACTGGACTATTTTGGGACTCAGTTGGTGATTGGAATGGGGGCATTGATAGCAATGTGCAACTGTATTCTGCACTGTCCATCGATAATCTGCTTCTGATAGGCACCATGTTTTCAAAGTTGTCCTTTCTCACACTGTGCATTTCTCCTTCTTGACTGGAAACTCTTTCTGGACTGTTTCCAGCTTAAACAAATTTCTCATCCCAATACATTCCAGGTGTAGTTTTGATGACTTTTGTCCTACTGGTAAAACAGCGAGCAAGTCTGTGAGTTGTAGCAGTTACCTATGACCTATCATTATTGGTAGACGAAGACAAAGCGTACCATCAATGATGTGGGTACAGCTGTGGTACCTGGTTCCCTGCACCAGTCTGGTTGCTCATCTTTGCCTATTTGTGTGTTATGGGTGCATTTACTATAACTAACTTCATGAATGTTTCAGACTTGGTAGTGGGCATCCAACCAATGTCATTGTGGACAATGGTCAACAGTCTGAGGATGATGATGAGAATTTCCTGGTAGAAGAGTCCGCACCGCAGCCGCCAGAGCCAGATCAGGTAGAAGCAGTGTTTTCATTTACCCCTCTCAGACACTGTTAATACATCAAACATTTGGAAAGAACATGATATTTGTGTAATACTTTTCAGTCTGAATGAGGTGTTCAAGAAATATATGTACATCCTATTCTATGTGTCCAACTGTTTTCGATAACGGTCAGCATTCACCCCTTCACCAGTTTAGTAAACACTTGCTCGACACAGGGACATGATTATGGCCATACCCTACAGGCATTGTTCTAATTGTAATTGAAAAGGCTTGAACTGAACAAATTGGAAACAAGATAATGGTTCTATGCCCACAACTGTAACATATTGCCAGATTTGAAGAGTAATGATGCTAAAATGAAAAACAGATCTGTATGCTAAGTTGTATCTGTGTAATATCTGAGTCTGTCATGTTGCAGACCGTGCTGAGTAAACAGGATGGGGAAGATGATGCTGATCATGGTGAGTTAATTCATATTCAGCTATTAAACTTCATGTGATAGTTGGACCATCTCCAGTTTCTAGAGGTTTTGGGGTAGCCTACTGGTTAGAGCATTCACTCGTAACACTGAAAACCTGGGTTTGATTACCCATGTGGTAACAACGTGAGAAACCTATTTCTGGTGTCCCCCACTGCTGGAATATTGCTAAAAGCGCGGTTTAACCTTACTCACTCACTCCACTCGTGGACAGAGAGTATACCTGGTGAGCAGAAAGTCCATGGTTTGATCCATGCATAAGTTATACTTAAAGACGGTTCTTGATGTCACCCTGCACAGTGCTCGACATTGAGGGGAATTAACAGGGTCTGGTTTATCTCTTAAAGTGACACATTGTGTGTCCTTTCAACTAAAGTCCTGGATTTCGATGTTTCTTTGTTTACAGGAGCCCTTGTGAAGAAGATGCTGGAGACAAAGAAGGAATTTGAAGAGGGAAGTCAGCCACAACAGGGTGGACCTCCCAAGAAAACAGAAATTGTAAGTAATTAATAGATACCTACTGCTAAACAAACCTCAGAAAAGAACATGGGTGTAAACATAGGTGTTCTCCATGTAATGGAAGAACCAATTGCCATTAAATGTGGTACTGTGGTGGAGTGCATGTTGAGTTCAGGATCTATGTATATTTGTCAATGTGTGATATTGTCCCTCTCACACAAAAAATAACTGCCACCTCTGTTGTTGTTATCGATGGCACAAATTATGCAGATTCACAGGGTTGAAGTGTTACGTCATGATTTATGTTAAGGTTGGTTCTCAGTAGTCATGGTAGCTGATTTATCGTTGTCATATTGACTGTATATACACCTGATAGATGATGACAAAATCAATCAGGAAGTAAATAACAGTTCAGTATTTTGGTCTTGTGTTGATTTTACTTTCTAAATGACTCACGCCAGGAGATGTTGGGTTTGTACTGATATTTACCCTTGGTATACCAGTTCACATCCATACCTTTGTGTTTTGTGAATGTTACATTTACAACCTGCTTCCCTTTCAGCTTACTGCTCATGCTTAGTTGAAATGCAATTATGTAACTGAAATGCTTTTCTGGGTTTGATGTTTAGTGCCAGCTCTCAGCAATATTCCTGCTGTATGATGGCATTCCCACTTACGACAAGTATTGCTGCTGGAGACAAATTCTAACCTGAAAATCGTTTTTAATGTGATGTAAAAATGTGCTCTCTTACCAATATTGTATCTCTCAGGAAAGACCAGTCTTGTCTGATGCTGCCAGAAGAAAGCAGCTCGAAATTGTACAGAAGGAGATCGACAAGCTGCGGAACAGCATCCAGAGCCTGACGCGGAGCGCCAACCCATTGGGGAAGATCATGGACTATGTGCAGGAAGATCTGGACTCCATGCAGAAAGAGCTGGAGAAGTGGAAATCTGAAAATAAGGAACACTCACTGGCTCTCAAGAGGGAGAGAGGGTAAGTTGGATAACATTAGATAGGAGACTACCTGTGTTAGGGTCCAGCAAAGTGAGAGACTGTGAGGACTGGTATTGTCCTCACATAATGTACCAGTCCTGCCAAAAATAACTCACATCAAATCAATTGTGGACCTTTTGGTGAAAGCATATTGTAATCTGCCCTGCCTAAGTCTCCTTTGGAAATACTTTTGGACAAAACGAATTTGCTTTCATGTTGGAACTGACAATATAAGTCACACTGAGTTGCTCAGTGCATTGCTCACCATTATTGGATCTATTTAGTTAGTGAGTTTACGCTGAGGGCAGAAGATCGGTGCTTCAATCCCCAGATGACATTAAAATGTAATACTTGATGTTGCCTTGCCTCGCTTGGTGTTAAAGGTCTAAACAAGGACTTGTCAGGTTGGCATCAGCATAATGTGTCTGAATGAGGCATCCATGTTGTACTGTGGAATGGTTTCATACTGGGCTGGCACTGTGAAACAGCACTAGTCCAGATAAGGACAAACAACCACAAACTCATGCATGCATGTCACTGTGGAAGTGCTGTTATCTTGAATGAGAGGTTCAGCCCCATTTTGTTTCCATCCTTCAGTAAACATCAGTTACATTGAACTCAAAGGGACCACTAAGTTTTGTTCATTATAACCATTATAATCATTTCAACTAAAATATTCAGAAGTGTGGGAGAGGAAAACTGTTTATTGCATCAGTCAGTTTGTTATAAGTGTGTTCATTTTAAATATAGCTTGCTGTATATGGTGAGCACACAAGTATTTAACCAAACTTTGTGTTACTGCCTTATGAAATATTTAGTACTATCCTTCATTATGACAGATTTATCATTTGATATATCATTGTGTTTGTTACGTCCAGCATTACTGACCGGTCGGTGGAACCACTCAAGGCCCAGCTGTCCGAACTTGACCAAGCTATTAAGGATCAGCTTGACCTCATTGCAGCGACAAAGTCCAACATCATTAGGAACGACCAGAAGATTGACAAGATGCTCAAGAGTATTGCCAAGTCGTGATGACCGCTCTCCATCCTGGTGCTAGGATCGGTCAGGGCAGTCAGATGGGGAACTACAGGCTAGACAACACCTGTTGACCATCACATGTTTTAAGCTGAAACCGTTATTTCTACTAAACACCAATGTTTGAAAATTACATCCATTTAGCTATTTATTGAAAATCTATTATTCAAAAGAGTTATACTGGGTTATAATTTATTATTTATTCTTCAGTAATGAAACCACCGCCATATAGCTGGGATATTGCTGACTGCGGCGTTAAACAAACAAAACAAAAAACAGTAATGAAACTCAAATTAAAGTTTTAGGTGTGTAAAAATACAGGTGATATATGATATTTTGCTGTTTTGTGATACTAGATATATATTTAGTACACAAGGTGGTGTATTTCAGGTTGACCACTTGTTTCCTGTCAAATCATTGGCACATATGGTTCTCTTCAGCACAATCAGAGCAAGTTAAGTAGTATTTGTATCATGATACATCCCTTGAAGTGAGAACTGAGTAGTCCTCAGCAAGCTGACAATTGTTATCATTAATGTGGTAGCTCCTTATCTTTCTTTCAGTTATGAGTGTTAAGTGTAAACAGATTTTTTAAAAGATTCGTTTCCCTTTCTGTGCCCACGTCCCCTGCTAATCGCTCAGTGTTGCTCATCTTTATGGAAGATCTTAAATCATGTCCTTATTGTTTAAGACTACTATATGCTATGGAGGAGTATCATGGTATGAAACAGTATCTCTGTATTCTTACACCCCATCCACAACATTATATATCCAACATGGACAACTGGAGTGTGGTTGTCTGAGTGTGTTCAGACCTGGCTACCTGGCTGACAGCCTCCATCTGCAACTCTCCACTCAAACTTAAGCAGTGTGTACTTAATGAGGAAACAGCCACCATTCACTGGCTGGTCATATTGTGATGAAGTGGCCATCGGGTAAACTTCTTGATGATTTGAAGTCAGAAATGCAGTATGAATAATGACACTGAATTAGGCGATTAAGTTGTTTTTAGTTGGTTTATGGAATTTTGTTTTGTTTCTATGATGTCAGCGGTAGAATAAAAATGGTCGCAAGGCATATGAATGTAACCATTTTCCTGCCAAAATAACTGCACAACCTGATATCACATATCAAAGGGCATAACCCTTGTTGGTCTGTATTTGGTACTTTGCAATGAAACTTTCTTTCAACACAAACTTATTTGAGTGATATTTCATGATAGTTTTCGTCCAATTTATATTTTTGTACCATTAGAGTCGTTGATGATAAACAAATGAGTCATTTTAATATTTTATCACTTTGGTATTTTTCATGTCAATGGACCCATAAACCAACAACAACACAATTAGTCGCCTTAAGGTCAAGGGTATCTGTGTCGGCTATTTATTTCATATTCATTTCATAAGATATTGATATTGTTTCACAAGCTAAGAAAACTGGGACCGAGATTTTCTGTGTTTATATTTATTTAAATATGTTCATGTTTGTCTGGGTGCCATTGTTACAACAGCATTAACAGATGTTAGAGAAGTGCATTGTTTCTAGTTATATTTCAAAATGTCTTTTAAGTATATTTGGCGTTTGTTTTATCTTACATGTGAATTGTGTGTGTAGATATCAACAAGCGTTTTAGATCAATAAGAACCAATATTTCCTGAGTCTAGACTCAGCACATTCTGTCATCAGTGATTATGGTTGTGGTTAATGGGTGAATGGTTAGTGTTTTGTTATGCTGTTGTAACATGTACACCTATTTGAAACTCAGCATCACTCAGGTGAACTTGGTCAAGAGTTTGTCCCGTGAGCCCCTGAATACCAGCGATTAATCCAGAACCGTACAAACTAGTAGTGACAGGAAAAACTGGGGATTTATTTACTTTTCTGTTGATCCTGGTTTCAGCTCAATCAATGAACTTTAGGTCCCAATTGTAAAGCTTAAATATCAATTATAATTCATTAGTTGAATTTGGACAATATGTTCTCTTTTTGTTTTGTTTTTGATGGATATATACAGAGGGAAAAAAATAAGGGATCACATCAAAGTACAAGTGTTCCCTTATTTTTTTTTCCAGGTTTCTTCACAAGCTATGCGATACAAAGCTTGTGAAGAAGCCTTAGGAAAAAAATAAAGGAACACTTGTCCTTTCATGTGATCCCTTATTTTGTTCTCTCAGTATATATGCTGGAATAGGGGACCATCTATCGATGGTTGTGTAGGACATGTCTCAAGATGGTTAAGAATGTGCATCCATACCTCATGCTCTTCAGTAACATTCATGCAGTCTGTGATAACAGCCCCTGTGTTTTGTACCTCATGTGAGTCTGCTTGCCCATCTTGTTTCATCTGGTCTTCTTCCACTGTCCACCTATTGTCTATACTGCTGGGGGCCCAACAAATATCTCGAGTTGCTGGAATATGAGCATATTCAGCTTACATAGGAGAAAACATATTGTTCTTTCAGAAGGCAAATATGTCTTTGATCGCAATTAAAACATGGGTCATAAGAGTAGGATTTAAGATCTATGGATCAAGGTTGGGTGTTGAATATAAAAGCCTTATATTAAATCATTTATTGGGACATCCATAGTGTGTCCTGAAGACATAAGTGGGGTTTTTTTGTAATGAAATACCCTTTTTCAGCTTAAATAGTGAAATCATGTTATCAGCACCATAACATTGTATAGTGTTGGTTTAATGTATACAGGGTTACACATGGCCACTTATCTGTTATTCTGTGTCCAGTGAGATCCAGGACTGGTAGCAAATCATGCACATGTCTGATATGAGGTCAGGACAAGCTGGAGGTGACCAATGGTGTCTACCCCCTGTGGATGTGGATGTATGAAGGTGTGGTGACACCCTGCTCACTCCACCAACATCCAACCACTTGAGGTCTTTGAATGGCATCATTACGATTCACATGGTAAACATTCATTCTTATTTTCAGCAGCAGTTTTATCCCGACACCAGTATGTTACTGTAATTAGAGCACAGTGAATTTGTTATAAAGATACGTTTGTAGAATTTGTGTGACATCAAAGGTTAAGGACCAACAGTTTAGTGGTCCTTCACTTGTTTTGAGTGGTACGATTCACCGCTTGTTTGATAATGATGATCATCTCTTTATAGTTGACACGAGAAGAATCAAAACTGGTTGTTCATGTCACTTGTCAACATTGGCCTGCTCTGATGAAACAATATGTTCTTTATTTATTTATATGCATGTTCATTAGCTCGTGTGCACTGTTTTGGATAGATTTAGATCGACACAATGACATGCCAAAGTTAAATATTCACATCCACACATTTGTTTTGTTTTGACCTACCATTCAAATCTGTTATTTACTGTAAGAGCGTACTCAGCTATAATCGTGATTGACATGTTATAGGCATATGCTTATGGAGCCTTTCTCACAGATGCCCAAATTCCTGATCCCAGATATGTTGATGGCTGAAATTGTTTAACTGTTTGCATGTTTGGTGACTTCTATTTTGTTTTAAGATCACGTAAGCTTCTTCATGAGTAGGTCAGGTAAAGATGTGGGTTAGAATTGGTCTCCTATGCTTGTGAGAAGCCATGAAGGGGACAGGTATTCAAGATTACTGACTTGCTTGAAGCAAGATCATATCCCAGTTACAAGGATTACTGTCATGACATGTGGACCAGGCTGGATAATATACTGACTGCCATCATATAGCTGGAATAACACAGTGCAAGGCATTGAATAACTGTCTTCTTGCAGCACATGAGTAGATCAAGTACCATGGTAACCACCATTTGGACTTGTGTGTGTGCTCTGCGATTCCACTTGTCCCATCTAGAATCTCAGTCGCTATGGTTAATAACGATGAAGACTTACAGTGACCTGGTTGGGCTACTGTGACTGACTGCTTACTGATGTGCTTTCTTTCTTCCAGAACATTGTTACATGTTTTACATTATGCTGATTGTTAATTTATGTGTTTTATGGTTAATATCTATTCTTTTATTTATTAAGGTGGCACTATATGTAGAACATTCTCACAAGTACTTATTAAACATATCACGCTCATGGTCACATTCGTTGAAGAGGTACCTTGTTGAAAGTATTCTGTGTTTTGCTCTGTCGTTTGATAATGGCACACAACCAATGAAATGGTCTTTGAAATGAGAAGTGGAATGTTCCTTTGTAAGAAACTAAATGTTCTTAGATTAATTATGTAGGAGGCCCCTGGCATGCAAGTTAAATTATTAAAAGAGATAGCTCAAGTACCCACGATCGCATTTACTTTCTGTTTAATTGTCGCTGATACTACATTCAAAGCAACTCTGTCAGGTAATCAAAGAACGAAGACAAAACATTTGATGTCTGTTTTCAAAATTCACTAGTTTTCTTAATGAAGTTAATTTGCAGTTCTAAATTTAACAGAATGATTGTAGCATTTGTTTGCGGGGAAAAGGTCAAGCAATGCAATTAGTTAAACAAATATGCTTGTCACTCATATTTCAAAATATGCCTATGAAAGATTGATTCATGGATGGTTAGACACAGACTGTCTGTTATTCCTGAAAATAGTGAACAGTCTTTAAAAGTCATGCTGCTACCACAAGACTACTTAAATATAGTTGCAAGCAATGATGAGGGCTCCTCGGCTTTAGTTCTATTTAGCCAATTGTGTCTGTCACATATTTGATGAAAGTTGTAATAGTTTTAGTTAATATGAATCATTTCACTGCTCGTCTTTGGAGATACATCACTGCAATCAGTAGTTATAATCGACACCAATAGCCCACTTGTACAGGTACATTTTGGTCGAAATCGGAAGGTTGGTTTGAGAGTTGTATACAGGTGTTTGAATTGTATTTGAGGGCTAGAAATCATCCAAAACGGAACAAGAACACATTTTTGACAGGCGAGCTGATCTTCCAAACACAGCCGGGGTCGTGGGGGTCATGTACCTTTTAAGAAGTTCTGGAGAAGAAATAGTTCCCTCTTTAAAAGGCTGTATCGCAGTTGTTCTTGGGTCTGCGGTCAAAACAATTAATGTTCTGGAATCACGAAGACTTCATCTATCACACTGGCAGAATTTGCACATTTTGGGAGCAAACTACTCAGAGAACTGCTGAAAAACATGGCCAAAACTGAAAACAAAAATAACTGCCAAACCGTTCAATTTAGCGACTTGACCCGTCCAGGCAAAACTGTTGGGAATTCGATTGTGCATCTGTACAAGAGATTTGGAAGTGTTGGAACAATTTATTTCTTGAGATATTTGCTGTCAAATTTTGAAATTGTGGAATTAATTTTGAATTATCTCCCCTTTGCTATTGGGCCTAGAGCCTAGAGATTTTTAAAGTGAACATCTTCACCTCGGTGGGCATCTGTGTGATTTCTTGTAAGTGATTCGGAGAATTGGTTTAGGAGGTATGTTTGGTACAAAATCGGTGGAATAATGAATAATAATAATAATCCGAACGATTACAATAGGTCTCCTGCCTAGAGGAAAGGAGCCCTAATTATGCTTAGTACAAGTTAAAATCAAGTGTTGGCAGTCCAAATTTTCACTGGAAGAATTTTGAGGCCATATTGCTGCACCAGTTCTCAGTGCTTGGATTAAGCTTCAAGTTGGAACTGAATTGACAAAACTTAAATGTAGTCAGCTGTTTTGTCTAATTTTGGCAGGATTAACTACAACCTTGGAGGACGCGTGAAATAAGGTTAACATAAGTCTAGTATTGAAGAAAATGGGAATTTCAGAAGCAAGGCAAATATTTGAAAGGACAATGTTTTCTTCCCCAAACTAGTTATGTTCCATTAACCACACACTGAATTTTACAGAGGCTAAAAAACACTAAAGAGGTCTCCGAACATACTTGATTAAATTGTGCAGCTTATGTATATGTATATTCATGCTGTTAGAAAATATAAAGGGTCTTTGCCTCTAGAGGTTTACTGTGTTTGTATCAAGGAGACCCTGAAATATCTGTAGTGTTATTGCTGAAACCCTGTCTTTTTAGCTTAAATTCAAACACAGGCTTGATATTGTTGATATATTCTTAAAACTGAATGGTTAGCTTGATGAGATGCCATCTGTTCTGTTTGCGTTCCGTTCAGCAGTGACCAAGGGTGAATCTCTTATTGAAGTAGATTAGGCTGTGCACAGCAGATCTTTGTACAAAGATTTCTCTAATCCGTCCAACTGTTTTTCAAAATGACTGTCCAGTGAGCCTTTTCTGTGAACGTATCACTGGACACAGAGACATTGTCTCCAGAAGTGCTTCAACTTTGTATATACTGTTTCCTTGTCCAATACTTACACACATTGTTACGTGTACATAATGAAGTACTTGTACCATATTAATATTTTGTATATATACGAATGTTGAAAGTTGTAGAAAATAAATTATTGAAGTTTTATGAGAGTGTGTAATTTTGTTGTCGATCCTACAGACAAGTTATGCTGTAAATGAAGATTGTTTTACACAGCCGTCAGCCTGGATGGCAATAATTTATGGCTGGGGGAGGATGATGGGGTAAGTGACCCCCCTGCATGTCATGTACAAAATCCAAGACTATCACCCCGTGATATTTTAATATATGTACAAAATTGCTGCTGCTTTCCTTTCTCTCTTTCCCCCGTCCCCCCACACCTCCCAAGAACAATGGGTGACCTCCTAAAAACAACATATTTTACAAGTCAGCTGTGGATGTATTATTCATTGTATTCAGTGAAACAGTAACAATAGGAAATATTTGACCATGTTGACAGTGTTAATATTTTCATGATCAGTGAACACATTACTCACATCAAATATGTAGGAGTGTTTACTGATATCCTTCCTGGCTTGATTCCAGTTTGTATGTATGACAAAATATTCCAGAGCTCATGAATATTAGATCCTAGTGGTTGCAAATAACAAATCGATTTCAAGAAGGGATGCAGTTTGAAGCATAACAGTGTACATAATACAATCCCCCTTTATATTGGTCTTAAACTGGTTTGTTATGTATACTGCAGAGTACAGCTTACAAACAATTCACTCATCCTTTTCATACACAGTCTATTCTGATCACTGGTTTAGTTGAGTTACAGTATACTGCATGCCAGGTCACTCTCTTGGTTCACATCATGACGATATGTGGTCTTCTGCATAGAGCGCAGGTCACAAATCAGGTGAATTAAGCAACGTTAGTCACAGAGAGCCCTTAGATGGGTGACCGTGTTTGGCAGCTTGACTCCTGAGAGTTTCTAGGACTTCTGTCCTGCCCCACAAACGAAGCACCTATGTGATCACACCTTATGCAAATGAGTTTGTTCAAAATTGCCTGTTCACCCAGCAGAAGATGGGTACCGGATGGTATAAGTCATATGACTATTTACCTTCTAGCACCTCACAGTCAGCTTGGGTTATCCTGGGTAATAATGTCCATCATGTTGTATGCGCTTAGAGCATGTCCCACCAATGTGCGAAATAGCCACTGTCCCGCTAGCCCGTGGCTAGTATAAATCCAGTCGGGCCAGTAAATTTCCAGAGACACTGGCCCGACTGATTAGTGAATTTTCATGGGTTAAGTTTGTAAATATATCACTCTCTCCAAATTGTTAAGTTACAATACAAATTTAAATCATGCAAGATTATGGCCTGATAAAAATGTTCATCATATTAGCAGCTTAATGATGAAACCCGTGTCATGCCGACAATATCTTATTCTCATCTATTTTTGTAATATATTGCTTAGTTTCTACATGTTTAAGAAATACAGTTCGCTCTACCATCATGTATAGTGTAATATAGCACACTTTCGCCCTGAACCTTCGGACCTTCAAGGGAACGTTTTGGTTGGTTGGTTGTTTAACACCGTACTCGGCAATATTCCAGTTATATACCGGCGGTCTGTAAATAATTTAGTCTGGACCAGACAACCCAGTGATCAACATCATGATCATCGATCTATGCAATTGGGATACAATGACGTGTCAACCAAGTCAACGATCCTGACCACCCGATAGTCGCCTTTTACAACAAGCATGGGTTACTGAAGGCCAATTCCAACCAGGACCTTCACGGGTCTTTAGCAACGGTGACTAACCGAACCCGGTCATTGATGTATGTCATTGAATTCCAACTGTGTAGATCGACATTCATTATGTCAATCACTGGGTTGTCTGATCATTTACAGTCTGCCATTACACAGGTGGAATATTGCAGAGTGCAGTGTTAAATAACAAACAAATAACAATATTTCAATGACATGTTAAAGCTGCATGTAACAATGGAGTCTGGATCAAACAGCCACAATGTCACCTACTGAAATGTTACCCGATTTTCATTGGTCCACCCCTTCAGAAAGTAAAAAATACCCAAGAATCTCCATGGTTACGGTTGGACTAGGGTCCAGATGGTCCAATTGTGTTTATCTAGTGAGCCTTTAATCTTCCCAGGCTGTGCATAGCAATCAAAAACGCAAAGACAGGCTCTCTTTCACACTCTTTATTACCTAATTCATAACAATGAAACTTGTCTCAGCACAGTCAGAGCATCAACTCAGTAGTGTCTTCCCATAAAACAATGAATTTAAATGGAAACCATGGTAACATGAACCTTCTAGAGTTAAATACAATCTTTTCCAAATAGGTTATCTGTGGTAGCACACTAGCATCATGTCTACAGCCATCTCAGCACTATGTACAGAGGGACCACCCCGTGGTAGTGATGTTATAACATCCCTGGTACATTCCTAGCGCGGGGGTCGGGCTCAGCGGGCAGTGGGGGGATCTCTGCAGGACGATCTGGCAGTATGTGTTCAGGGGCCCTAGGTTTAACTCGGTTGGTGTCGTGGGTTCGGACCTTCGCAAAATATCCTAGAGGAGGACGTTCTTGTCCCAGATTTTCCTTAACACAGTTGTCAAACAGGACCTGTGTGCGTCTACAGCTGAAACATATATAACAACTTAAGTGTAACAAAATGTTCTTATAACATACCGGTATGTTATATTTGGGACTACACTTTCTTTGTAAAGTACAGATTCTGGTACTGTTGTTGGGTTGAGTCCCATCCGGGTGGCTGAGCAGGTTAGGCTGCAGACTTTGTGTGCTGGCGATTAGGTGCCTCACTCTGAGGGTGTGGGTTCGAATCCCGGGTGGGACTCAACTAGAATCTGTACTTTACAAATATAAATTCCCAAATATAACATATGTTACATTTGACCACGTTCTAAATGGCATTGTGTATTCATTGAAACGTTCTTGACAGATAAACATATCACAGCATGAAATGTAAAAACAATACCAAAAGTGTTCACTGCTGAAAGGGAAACAGATACTCTAAGAGTGAGTGAGTTAAGTTTTACGCATCACTCAGCAATATTCCAGCTATATGGCGGCGATCTGTAAATAATCGAGTCTGGACCAGAAAATCCAGGGATCAACAGCATGAACACTGATCTACACAATTGGGATATGATGACATGTGGATTTGATCCCATTAGTCGCCTCTTACGACAAGCATGGGTTACTGAAGATCAATTCTAACCTGGATCTTCACCGGTCAGATACTCTAAGAAATAAAGGTTATTAGCTGAGTTTTTGTATGATGCATGTCACAGAGTATAAAGTAATCACTTTGTGTTAATATTTCACATATAATTCAACTCTTAAAGTATTTGATGCTAAATATGTAGTAAAGAGAGAATTTTACTCAACGAAAAGGCTCTTAATAATGCAAATGACACACAGTTATGTTTCAGTGACACATTTGGAAAACACCTAACCATATAAGTAACATCTATGAATAGTTTGTTGAGAAAGAAGCCATTGGTTCAATGTATGTAGCTCCTGCTAGGCAACAATATTTCCACATTTATCAAATCATCATACAATATTTAATAACGATAAATCACATTGGTAACACAAGCCTATATCATAACTCTCTTAGCCGAATATTCATGTGAACATGGTCAAATATACATCTCCAGTGGAATATCTCAACATGTCCAATGGATTAATTGTTTGTCTCAACATGGTTAATGCTCAAATCTTTTGGCCACTTACTTTTTTAAGTTCATATCATGGCCTGAATGATCGATACACTGCCAGTACTTCGTAAACTCCTCATAGCAATTCTTCTTCACCTTGCCAAAAAAATCAAATCCACATTTTGTAACCTCTTTCCCTTCATTCAAGCATTTCCTGGGATCCTTTTCTTCTGAATGGCACAGCATAAACTCCTAAAGAATGAAAAACAACACATTCAAACATGGTAAATAACCTTACTCTTCATAATTAAGTAGAAACTAAGATTTGTTTGTTTCTTTGTTGATCAATGAGGAATGTTGTTCATAAGGACACGCTATCAAATAAATCGCCAAATTTTCCCACCTGATCCATTTTGTGGCCTCTTACAGCCAGGTATAAGGAGCAAATGAAGAAAGATGCATAATTATAACTTATAAGAAGCATATATTTAATATGGTGATATGTCCAGACATAAGGCCCAAAAAATAAAAGGCCAGAATGCACTTTATCGGGTGCAGCCCTCGCTGCTCCCTTTACGATCCTTAGGGTTAGGGTTTAGGTATGCCACCCTTTACAATCGTTAGGTTTAGGCACAGGCACCCTTTACGATCTTTAGGGTTAGGCACCCTTTACGATCCTTAGGGTTAGGGGTTAGGGTTAGGGAACCCCAGCAGCGCTAATTAATCTGAAAAAGTGTGTCCAGTAAAGTGTAGTACTCCCAAATAAAATATGTGTGTTTAGGGTAACATGAAATTATAAAACAGGGTCGGTAGTTAGGGCTAATCTTTTTTTTTCTTATATATTTTTTTTTAAATGCACTCGCATATTTTAATAAAATCACATATTTATGTAATATCAGGCACCAGTTTTGAAAGAAAAGATGGGAAACCAGTTTAAAATTTTAACTGAAGCATAAACACTTTCTAAATTCAACATATATGAAAAACAGTCAATTTTCGGTGAGAGAATTAAGTTCGATGGGAGTACTGCACTTTACCGGTGCACTTTTCCCCGGGTTCCCTAACCCTAAGGATCGTAAAGGGATCCTAACCTTAAGGATCGTAAAAGGTGCCTAACCCTAAGGATAGTAAAGGGTGCCTAACCCTAAACCCTAAGGATCATAAAGGGTGCCATACCCTAACCCTAAGGATCGTAAAAAGGGTTGTTTGACTCTAAAGATGCAAGTGAAGGGAGACGGCTGCGCCCGGTAAAGTGCATTCTAGCCAGTTCGATTATGTGAAATATCACTCAGGCGGTAAGACTTCTGTCCATATCCCCCCTAAATTATAATGAGGAAGAAAAAGATATATGTATATTCAGGTAACATGATTTGACCAGAAGACATAAAATAACTTTTAACATGACTTGTGCATACCATACAGACATTTAATTATCAGGGTAGGGTTAGCCATGCACAATGTAATTTAAGGGGGGATACGTTTGGAAGTCTTTCCCACATCCAGTCACCATGAAGGCATGCTAATTTAGCACTCTTTCAGAACACGACAGTAAATGTGATGCTGAGACTGACATGAACATGATGATTGACATAGCGCATTTTGTTTACACACGTTACTACACGTCGTGGGTAATTATCAGTGGCAACGATTTTGGTGTAGGCCCACTTTTTCAGCTGCAGCTGAGACAATAACTAAACAGTCGTTCCTGTTATCTGGGGATGAGGGGATTCTATAACGAAATTAGAAACCTCACGAATATAGGGGACATCACCAGTAGTGACATTATGTCCAGCATGTGACAAATGCCAACAAACCTTGCAAACATTATCGCAGTATTTTCCAAAGTGGTGTGCACCCGCTCTTAACACAGCCGATGTTAACTGTATTTCAGGAACAGTTAATTCCTGATAACTAGGCAGATATTCCTCGTTGGTGTACGGCATTTTCACCAACGACCTTGTCTAACCTAGAGTATACTCTTTACCTCACTACTACTCACAGCAAGGAATATTCGTATGAGCTTAGGTTCTTTTACAAACAATGAAGTCAAATAAAAGACTAAAATTCTTATTTAAGTTTAATAACATTTTTTAAATATATATTGGTGAAATAATGGCGGCAATTAGGAAGTAAACCGTATATATTAAGCCGTACGATATTTATAACTGTTGAATATGTAGTTAGAACATATAACGGCACAAATTGTCTCCCCTTATTCCCAAACTGGCCCAATCGGTTTGCTCCGGCATAAGATCTGCGAGCAAAGAGAGAGAACATCTTGGTTGTTTTATTTTTACTAATTAATTTTCCCAATTTATATACGTTGAATCTAATAGACGCTTTTCTAATTATATTGTCTAGAAATATACCATTTAACCAAAGTGCTGATATATCGAGCAGTGAAGTGAGCAAAATAGCCTAGAAAATAGAAATCGACTAAATATTTACAGTAATGAAAATTATTAGCTTGGTTGTAATTTTGCTATTTACATTAGCTGAGCTGTATAAGTAGGCTATGATATTGTAGTTACGTAAACGTTTGCCCGTGTGTTTCACGAGAAGTAGAATTATTATACCAAATGATATATTTTAATAACAGTTATGTTTTGAAAGTGTATTTTAATTGACTGAATCTGTGTAAATGTGTCATCGAAGGTAAGCATGAATGGTAATAGGGGTGACTCCAAGATCTGGGCCTCACATAGTGAACTCTTTTACTTCGGACATAACACAATGTCATAGAGCAATAACTCCAAAAGAAAACTTGACTGAAAGAAGGAAATTGTTTCCCTGTGACAAAAAAGTACAATAGCCAGGCTAGGGTCTGGGACCTTAGGAAAATGGACAAACTTGACGAACATTGATCAAGTACTTGCAGACAAAAATGCTTCAAACAAAACGCCATCCATGAAGATATGAGTACAACATTATGTGGAATGATGCCCCTTGCTATGCGATGGTAAAAAAGTGGTTAACAGTATAATGCATCTCCAAGCAGCGAGAGCATTCCATTTTCACATAAACGTTGGCAATGAACAAAGTATTACTTCGTTGGGGTTCAAAGCTTGTGACATCTGATTAAAAAAAACCCGCAACAGACACAGCATTTCTCGTGACAATCTATCTCTGTTTGAAGCTGATCTAGAAAGATTATTGCACCGATTTGTGACTTTAGATAAAACCGTGTACACCAATTCCAACGTGAGTCCAAAGAACAGTATAAAAGAGCAAGCGGTTGACATTACCGTCTCCAAAGAAATCAATGCTGCCCCATCATCTGCAGTGGTAATGGCCACCACGACGCCAAGGGTGTCATCGTGGTGAGCATATAAGATGCGTATAATGCGACATTTTGTAAATATTTACCATACGGGAGTGACTCTTAGAGGCTTTGGAAGGCACCAGGAAGATGAACAAGTATTCAAATCAACCATTGTCATGACCACAAACCACCAGTTACAACGATAGTGAGATTCTGTTTACTGCAGATATAATTATAACAAGCTTACATACAATTGTAATTTTTCGGGTTCGTTTGACGCCGCACTCAGATATATTCTAGCTATATGGTGGTTATCCGTAAATAATATAATCTCTAACAGACAATCCAGTGAACTGGGATATGATGACATGTGTCAACCAAGTCAGCGAGCTGACTACCCGATCCCGTTAGTCGCCTCTTACGACAAGCACAGGTTGCAGAAGAACAATCCTAACCCTAACTACAATGAAACGTGTTGTCATGAAAACCCCGACCATTATTTACCAAGATACCGTTAAATATTTAAACTGTTAACTAAGTGGTTTGAATGTGAAAACAAACTGGTATACATTTCTTGGACACGATACGAATGATGCATGGGAGCGATGATCGGCGTATACAAACTATGCAAATCCCTTCCTTGCATTTAGTGATATTGTTTGTAGGCTGCGCTTATCAAGAAATGTTACATGGTTTCCGATACGAACTGTACAAAAATGACAATTATTTATGTGACCAATGTTATATACTCATGCCAATAATGGTTGTCATCCCCTCCCCACCCCACCCCACATCCCTGTCCAATAAGAAAACTTGAAGGGCGTGACAACCATTATTGCATGGGTATATGTAATTTCCATGACATATCAAAACGCAAACATAACCTTTTGTATTGCCTTGTTTGATTGTGGACCTAAACTGTGTGTATAAATATAATTTGTTACTTATTCGCGCAACTTGTGTGGTAATTCTTTGAGTTTTGTACGTACCTTTTCGTTTAAATTAGTAGCAACAACTTATGTCCTCTAATAATGAAGCGTTAATAAAATACGTGAAGAGTATTCACCTTGAGCGATGTGGTACTGACGTGTAGATAACTTGGTGAGTTCCTGAACATGTTCCTTTATGTGCAGTCGAATTTATCGTCATGTTTCCATGCTCAAATAGGATTTGCAGCTTGAGCATTTACCCCGTTAAGATGCGTGTTCGACGTCTTATCTTCAGAAACCAAAGCCTGTCTCACAAGTAAAGGAATCTGAAATGGCCAGTCACGCTGACTCGCTAGACGTGTCATTGCATGTATCACAGTGGTGTACATCGGTCTAATGAACAGCGTACAGTTTAAGACACGGGAATGTTGAGATGTAGGTTTATGTCCCATGTACAGAAGGGCAAGACTGACACGGGATCTTGAGGACATGTAGGACTATGAACCAAGTACCCCATGTCCAGAAGGGCAAGACTGACACGGGGATCTTGAGGAGATGTAGGACTATGAACCCAGTACCCCATGTACAGAAGGGCAAGACTGACACGGGGATCTTGAGGAGATGTAGGTCTATGTCCCCAGTACCCCGTGTACAGAAGGGCAAGACTGACACGGGGATCTTGAGGAGATGTAGGTCCAGAAGGGCAAGACTGACACGGGATCTTGTCCCCCCAGTAACCCATGTACAGAAGGGCAAGACTGACACGGGGATCTTGAGGAGATGTAGGTCCATGTCCCCAGTAGGAGATGTACCCAGAGAAGGGCAAGACTGACACGGGGATCTTGAGGAGATGTAGGTCCATGTCCCCAGTACCCCCGTGTACAGAAGGGCAAGACTGACACGGGGATCTTGAGGAGATGTAGGTCCATGTCCCCAGTACCCCGAAGTACAGAAGGGCAAGACTGACATGGGGATCTTGAGGAGATGTAGGTCTATGTCCCCAGTACCCATGTCACACAGGGGATCTTGAGAGATGGGTCAAGACTGACACAGGGATCTTGAGGAGATGTAGGTCCATGTCCCCAGTACCCCATGTACAGAAGGGCAAGACTGACACGGGGATCTTGAGGAGATGTAGGTCCATGTCCCCAGTACCCCATGTACAGAAGGGCAAGACTGACACAGGGGATCTTGAGGAGATGTAGGTCCATGTCCCCAGTACCCCATGTACAGAAGGGCAAGACTGACACGGGGATCTTGAGGAGATGTAGGTCCATGTCCCCAGTACCCCGTGTACAGAAGGGCAAGACTGACATGGGGATCTTGAGGAGATGTAGGTCCATGTCCCCAGTACCCCGTGTACAGAAGGGCAAGACTGACACGGGGATCTTGAGGAGATGTAGGTCCATGTCCCCAGTACGTCATGTCCAGAAGGGCAAGACTGACAAGGAGATCTTGAGGAGATGTAGAACCATGTCCCCAGTACCCCGTGTACAGAAGGGCAAGCCTGACACGGGGATCTTGAGGAGATGTAGGTCCATGTCCCCAGTACCCCATGTACAGAAGGGCAAGACTGACACGGAGATCTTGAGGAGATGTAGGTCCATGTCCCCAGTACCCCGTGTACAGAAGGGCAAGACTGACACGGGGATCTTGAGGAGATGTAGGTCCATGTCCCCAGTACGTCATGTCCAGAAGGGTAAGACTGACATGGGGATTTTGAGGAGATGTAGGTCCATGTCCCCAGTACGTCATGTCCAGAAGGGCAAGACTGACAAGGAGATCTTGAGGAGATGTAGGACTATGAACCAAGTACCCCATGTCCAGAAGGGTAAGACTGACATGGGGATTTTGAGTCTGAAATGCTAAAGTAATGAAGCAGGTCTAGATTTTCTCAGGTTGAGGAATCTCCATTTCCCATTTCAATTAAATATGAATTAATTGTTTCTATCAAAATTATAATTAGTATGTATTCAGAAACTAAGCGTTAGTCTAAAATTGGACGAGAGTGCTATGAATATCTGTTTCTTACATACCCTACAACCAGATTGTCTGGAGAAGCCTGTCTCAGACCCACCCGTGTCTGTCACAGATCTCAGCCTTACATACACTTGAACCCAGACCAGACTGTTGCGTCTGTGAACCATCCGTGTCCGTCACAGATCTCAACCCTACAGACACTTGAACCCAGACCAGACTGTTGTGTCTCTGACCCACCCGTGTCTATCACAGATCTCAACCATACATACACTTGAACCCAGACCAGACTGTTGCGTCTGTGAACCACCCGTGACAGATCTCACCCGTGACTATCAGATTGTTCGTCTCTGAACGCTCCATGTCAGTCACAGATCTCCTTGCAGACGCATGAACCCAGACCAGACTGTTGCGTCTGTGAACCACCCGTGTCCGTCACAGATCTCAACCTTACAGACAAGACCAGATTGTTGCGTCTCTGAACGCTCCATGTCTGTCACAGATCTCCTTGCAGACGCTTGAACCCAGACCACGCTCCATGTCTGTCAACCAGATCTCTCAACCTTACAGCAGACGCTTGAACGCTCCAGACAGATCTCCTTACAGACAGACTGTTGCGTGTCCACCCGTGTCCGTCACACTCCACAGACAAGACCAGTTGTTGCGTATCTGAGATCTCAACCATACAGACACTTGAACCCAGACCAGACTGTTGCGATCTGTGAACCACCCAGTGTCTGTCACAGATCTCAACCTTACAGACAAGACCAGACTGTTGCGTCTGTGAACCATCCATGTCTGTCACAGATCTCCTTGCAGACACTTG